GCATGTAACAGCAGTTCGGAAAATGGTGAAGAGACTTGGCCGATACGAGAATAGGATAAAGATAGACTGTCGGTGTTTGAACAGTTCCGTTCAGTTTATACAATCATTGACAATGAACTTTCGGGTTCCGTTTCTGATTGTTTTTCTCTTGGCTAACCATTGGAATGAAAGGGAATAGGGCAGATTGTCATGTTGTCAGTAGTGTGAAGGTGAATAAAAAGAATTATCATAGACTGAGATTGAAAAAAGATTGAGAATATGCACGAGTACCGCTGTTTATGATACTCAGCCATATCACATCAGTTTTAATGACCCCGTCAGACTCGAGCAATGCTGGATAGACAGTAGTATTGGAACAGCAACAAGTTATCTTTATCCTGTTATCGTAATGACCATGGGTTACGCCTGTCCCCGGATAGACTTTGAAAACTAACGAGGATCGTCGAGACTGTTGATGGGTGTAATGAAACCAAGAGTGATCAAACAAAGACTTGACATCAGTTCAGTTTCAATTATACAGACATTAACCATGCATTTTCATGTCCCGGTTTTGGCTGCCCATTTGCATAAAACAGCAGAGTGAAGATTGGAATTTGAGAGCAAATTCAAGGGGAAGATAGGGAATTTATATAGATTGTGGTTGCAAGAATATTGAGCAGATGCATGAGCGTCAATGTTTGCGACACCCAATCCTATTTATCACTCAGTGTCTTTAACTGCCGTTTACCATCATTTCGGAGTCCTCATCCAGGGAGCCTAACGGGACCTATGTGACTCAGTCGCCTGGTTAGGGTTTTCTTAACCTCATATCAGGTCTTAGTCTGACAGCCCTTGATCTTTTTCTATCCGTTATCTGCCTCGGCAAACATTACCAGGTGGCAAGCGCAACCCATATCCCAGCCAGTTTAGTCTATGGAGGTTGACCACATGTTCCAGTGGACGACCACGATTAACTAAAACCCTCCGTCTAAACTCAGCAGTGCATGCCCGGTTTCCCCACTAGACTCGTGCAATGCAGCGTAGACAGCGGTGTTCAAACGCCAACAGTCTCCTTTTATCCTGTNGCCAAGTCTCTACCCCATATAGCAGGGCTGACCTAACTACTACACTCGACCCTTCACAGGCAGCCAGATGTGGCGACTGAACCATAGATGTCTTAAGTCGGCAAATGCCAGTCAAGCCTTTTGTATGCGTTCCGACACTTCATCTGTGACGCGTCCACCAGACGAGATATAGCTGCTCAAATAGCAAATTTGTCTACTTGCTCTATTAATTTTCCAGTTAGAGTGAGGTTGGGGGCTGTGCTAATCCAATCTTGTAGCAACATTTTACACTTTTAAGGTGCAGAAACGCATACCAAACATAGATACACTAGCACTTAAACTATGCAGAAAAGCTTGCAACTTACCTGGATCTTCACTTAGCAGCACAATGTCGTCTGTATACTCCAGATCAGGCACCTGGGAGCAAATCGATGCAGCTATCCTCACACAAGGACAGTGCTGTTTTCATAATGAAACGTATAACAAAGTTAAATAGATTCTCACGCGTGCACCGTTCACATGCAGCAGACAATCTACTGAGTACAATACCAGCGAGAAGTTTAGGGACAATGTTGATTAAAATAATTCCTCTGTGGTTTTCACAAGAACCTATTCCCTTTCCCGCACCCAGTCAGGGAGTTTCGTTAACTCCAAAACCAAGGCTGAACTTCCATCCTTGAAAGCCGATGGGGACAGTCCGTGCAGGCCGAAAGCCTTATACCTTTTGAGATAATTTATTTCCCGGATAACCTCCTTCTCAGATGGAAGACTGATATCTGCTGGCAGTATTTGCCCAGTTAAAGCAGATAATGGGAAGCTTTGTGTTGACGGGGGCTAGCTGAACTGTTTAAAATGTTCTGCTCATCATTTAAGACGGCATTGCTGAATGTGAATCAGTGTGCTGCCAGATTCCCTAATTACCCTACTCCTAATTAGACAAAAAACATTGCAACCACTACCGATAGCCGTAGCTTTTTCCATCTGTTTACACTTTTCTATCTAATACTTTTCACGGTCATCCCTCAGGCGCTTGGTGAGCTGGCGTTTAAAGGAGTTAAGCGCTTTTTCGATTTTGGCAGATAGGAGGGTAAAAAATCGAACCAGGAGACGTGGTCATACAAGTCACCTTAGATAGTTAAAGATAACGAGTGATATGGAGAAGTGAACTGAAGCAAGCCTTTCCCGAGACCAAGTTCAAAAGAAAAGACCAAATTGCAATACTGCATGATTTATGTCCAGGACGATCTCGCTGCATCTCAACATGGTGCATACTGCAGAAAAAACATCATTTATATAGGAATTTAGCATGGTAACAAAGAAGAGTAAAATACAATGAAACAGACAAACATAAAAGGGGGGAGGGTCAAAAAGACTGTCACCAGGGTACGGATAAACTAACCCCTCCCCCTTTCATGTTTGTCTGTTTCATTGTATTTTACTCTTCTTTGTTGCCATGCTAAATTCCTATATAAATGATGTTTTCTCTGCAGTATGCACCATGTTGAGATGCAGTGAGATCGTCCTGGACATAAATCGTGCAGTATTGCAATTTGGTCTTTTCTTTTGAGATATGGAGAAGTATCGTAGACGGTGGCACTCGCGCATCTACTCAGCATCCTTGCGACCCTAGCCTACCTGAATTCTCGATCCTCATCTGGATACTACTCCCAGCTTTCTACTTCTGTTTGCTCCTTCATTATTGTTCGAAAAAATAGGTGACCGAATGAGAGCAATCGGAAGAGCCGCATGAAAGTGCACGAATATTGGTTGTATAAAATGAACAGAAACTGTTGTTGAGAAATGAAGCAAAAGTGGAAAAAGGTACGCATAATATTTCATTCCATTCATACTGCAGCACATTTAATACGGTTTCCTAATATATGTACTACTTTAAGGCGGAGAATTAGATGACACTGCTCCATAAGCGTCACAATCCGGAACCGGATTATATTCAGAACCATTTAATCTAGATGTTTGAGGCTGTGGGAGCCCAGAATTTTCCAACTCTATCATTACCAGCGCGAAATAGTTGATTTCAGATCGATAAGGATTAAGATGACCGCTTAGTAAAATGCACCACTTAGGTTCTATGGGCATAGATGGAACATACTTGTAAAACTTCTGGACGCCAACGAAAACAGACTGCAGAAGAAGCCGTAGGTATGGGAGACGATGCCTGAGTCGGGATCGAACTCGATGCGGATGTGGTGATGGATGACGGTGGTGGAGAAGCACAAGCAGTTTTGTTCGGCGTTGATTTGCTTGTTGAGCGACTTGCTCGGGAGTGATGCTGTACAGCCGATGCCGCAGTTTTTAACAACACGCGTAGAACCGTCAGCTCGTTACGTTCGAGTGCAAACAATGCGTGATATTGTAAGATCAGATAACCGATGGGGTGAGCCAGGTAATCAGCGGGCAATGTTACGGAAGTGGATTGAGCTGCGTCTGTTGATTAGAAATGAACAAGAATAGACACAGAAACAAGTAAATTGTCATTCGTGGGAATAAAAACCGATTAGACCTGAATTTTAAACAGCCCATGTGCATTTGAGATAAATGGTGCAAGAAAACCCAGCTGAACAAAGGTAGAAACAGAACCCATCAAACCAGTCATACAGAGAAGCAAAAAATCCAAGGGACGTTTAAAAAGCAAGCTAAATTTGTTCGAAGATGGATCAAATGAGACCAAATCTCATTTTCGAATCCTAGTTACTTGCAAGTAGTGTGTGCGTGAAGTGTTGCACTGACTGAACAACATTTAAACTGCATCTTCACGCACAATTTTTGGTCAGCCAGTTCATCTTTGGTTGGATCTTTTCAGCAGTGCACAACCACCAGCACGTCGGTAGATTCGGCCTCCATAGTTGTTGGAAATATGACACACCTGTAAACTGTCGAGCAAATAAGCGAAACTGTAGAACCAGGTCTATTCAGATCTTGTCTTTACTAACAGTCAGTTAGTTCATTCTGTTCAATAAAAGAGGAGTGCAAAAAATAAACTCTTTGTGAAATGAAACCGAAAACCTCCAAACAAATCAGGTCTTCCATGTGGGTTAGGGAAGACGTATTCAACTGAAACTGATATGTTAACATAATCTCCATTTCCCCCTTCAGTTGTTTGTTTGTAGTGGATAATTGCCTACATCTGGTGTGGTAGGAGAATTTAGACTGAAGTTAGAACGTTGAACACTCTCCGTCTTCAAATTGGTGGGGTCGACGTCTGACTACCTCTGGGGACGATATGTGGCCAACTTCGAGTAGGTAATTCTGCCCGTATCAGGTATGAGTTGTTTATCACAGAAAATGTGCACCACTGATGAATTCTTACAACAGCAAAATTTAAGTCCAGTGCTGCCCGACCGCGCGGTCGATTAAACAAACTGAAGGACATGTGTGTGAGGATGAAGTTTGAAGGTCGATTAGTCAAAATAACGAAACAAACTGTATCAATGTTTCGAAAGTTTCTCGCATTGACAGAGAAGTTTAAATAAAAGAGTGGAACTGTATTCCGGACAGATTGGCTGCGGTCAGTAGAGTAGATGTACGAGCATCACCCTCGGAAGCAACACAACATCTAACAGATGACAAGGCGGAAAAAATGTTTGGGCATTTCGAAATTTTCGACTCTCAACAATCGGCTAAGAAAGAGGCCAAGTTACGCAAGCGACTATCTGTCGCAGAAGTTTGTAAGGAATTTCCAAACACTTCCCAATGGTATATTTAGAATTGCTTGTCTCGGAGTTAGGATAAGACATCGCTAGAATGGCTGTCGATAAGACCAAAGTTCTGTATTAAAAATCGTATAACCGGACAACTGGAGCTGAAAAATGAGTTTGGAAACTTATACGAGCAATTAGCAGATTT